AAATGTTAAATGCCTGAGGTAACAGATACCCCAATTAGCCTGATTTGATTAACTCACATTCTATGCCTGTATCAAAACATCACATATACCCTATAAAGATATACAACTATTATGTGCCCATAATAACTAAAAATAAAATGTTATTTAAAAAATCTCCAAAGGTTCTGATACAGCAGGTCTAAAGTGGGTCCTAAGAATAGAATTCTTTTAGGAGGCAACCCAGGTAATTCTGGTAGTTGTGCTCAGCACACAGCACTTTGAAAAACACTGCTCTGAAAAGGGTATGCTAGGATAAATTAGCTATTATTAACATATGAAATTAACACTGAAAAAATCAATACCATAAAGGTAGGTAGAGACAGACACAGAAAGAAAATCATAGAACACCAGGTGGTAAGGGATTTTTCCACCTCCAAAAAATTTTCATCATCCCTGACAGATGGTCATTTTAAATACCTTCAGTGATGGGGAATTGCTGTGTCTTCAGGCAACACATTCTATTTTGAGCTATAAATTGATATTAAAGAGGGCAAATTGTAAGTTATTTGGATAACTGAAGAAATGAGGATATTATTCAGGATGAATTACACCTGGAAGACTCTCTAGACTTGATTGAACTAGATAAAATACCAACATGAAATTCAAAACTAATTTGCAAGGCTATTGGAACACCCAAATGTTGGATCTGCTACTCGATCCCACTAAAAAGGCCATACTTTCTTTGGCTGCTGTAAAAATAAACCTTTTAATACGTCTCTTAGTCACATTTCTATGGTGCAACATTTCAACCACACACCTGGCAACATTTTCATCTCTCTGTTTAGGCAGTGGCAGGTAAACACTAATAAATACGCACACACACACACACACACACACACACACACACACATATGTAACCAAAATATTTTGCAATGCTCATGAATATTTTAATGGTCCAGATCAAAGCATCTTCAATGCATATAAGGCCATTTCATCCCACTACTCTGTTGAAAACAATAGTGCTTATATTTTATTTTTTATCTTTATATAGTTATTCCATCCAATGAGGAAAATAGTTATTAAACTATTTATTTGTTTAATAATGTTTAGAAGAACTCACAAGCCTAGTGGTTTCAGATGGATATCACCTGATGCTTGGGCATGTCCATTTTTACTTATGCAAACTATCAAAGGCTTCTGTAGCCTCTCCTAGCACACATACACTGCCATATTATTGGTACAAAACTGGCAAGTATGTGGAGCTGCACACTTAGGTATAGTCTTGGATTATTTTAATCTAATCTGCCAGAATATTGTGTGGAATAAGAAGTTTTTATAGAGTTGTCTGGATTTTGAGTAGCCTCAAAACTCTCTTACACAGATATATTTCACATAGATGTCAATGCTTCTTTTTAGTCCAGGATTCTAGTTGAGAATTAGAGTAGCTCCCATTTCCTCTTCCCCACTGAGCCACCACTAGAACATCAACCCCAAGTCTGCACCTTGGGCAGTATTTGTTTGTGTGAAATAACGGGGCCCTAATGTTGAAGTATTACATGAAGAAGGTTGCTATGACGACTTTAGCAATGCTACCATCTAGCACTACAGAGCACCCAATAATAAACAAGTCTATCTCTCTCCAAAGGTATCTTTGTGTTCAAGCTTGAGAAAGAGAAGAGCAGCCGCTGACCTACGAGAGCTGCCCTGGTCCTAGCAGCGAGGCCTTGGTGTTCTCCTTCTGCACATAAACAATTTCACAGAGCATCAGCATCAGACAAGGTCACTCTGTGACCATGATGGAGCAAAACAGAAACGGCACCACTCCCTTATCGTGTCTGAACACAGACAAAACACGCACACTGTCCAAGCCACAGAACACCAAACATCCCCCTCTCTTTGCTAAATGAGAGACTGCTGCTGCTTTACCAATTACAGCTTTGGTGACACCCCAGCCTGCCCTCCTATGGAAAAGGCTTATTGAGATACACAATCATAGGATTGTTCCTGCTTTCTGAGAGCATCTCATTCAGAGTGAACCCTCCTCTCTTGGACCATCTTCCAAATTACTCAGGCAAAGCCCGTGTCCTAGAAGAGCCCAGCGTGGGCAGCCACAAGTGTCTTCCTGGTGGTTTGGAGTGGAGAGTACTGACAAACTCAATCACTGAGGCCAAAATAGACATTCTTCAGAAAGGCTGAAAGAATTTCTATCCTCAACACACTCACTAAAAATTATGATATAAATAAAGTTCTCCTTGAGCTTATTTTCTCACATTGTAGGTCTTGTGGCAAAAGATCCTTCAGTTCTGTCCCTCAGGAAAACACTTTTGGAAAGAATGAAAGAAACAAGTGGATTATGGCCCATCTGTTACGTATTGACTAGAGGAGGAGGCATGTTTTCGAGGAATATGGTTCAGCACGACAGCTCTGTGCTCTGGCCACAGGGAGCACAGTGGTCCACGGTCCCAGATGTTCCTGTGGAATCCTACAGCGGATGTGATGGGAACCTCTCGTAGAAAGACAGACAACTGAATTAATGTGGCCGTGACTTTCCTCCAATTTTTTCTTTTCTCTGATTTTGTACTTATCAGGGATGTTTATCTCTTGATTATTATTTCCTCATTGGGCACATTTAATGGTCTAGTTTTTTAAATATGAAAATTTAAGTTGCCTGCCGTGCAAAATGATGTGAAGCGATAATTTAAAGAGCTTGAGTACATTTATATAAATCTCAACCATTTGCATGAGATAAAAAGTTCCCAGTTACAGCACAGAACTTTTAACGTTTTGAAAAAGAACTACTAACCTTTGTAAAGTACCAACATTATATTCTGTCATTTCTGCCTCTCTCAAAAGTATACACAGACTTTTCTCCTAAAAGGCTTATTCCAATGAAAAACTTCCACTTAAAACAGTAATAACACCTAAAAATTATTGCCATCGACTATATATTAAGTATTGTTCAAAAAAATTTAAATGCATTATTTCTAAACCTCACAAAATACCAAAAGGTATATACGATTATTCACATTTTATAGATGAGTACCTGGATGACAGAAATTAAATGATATGCTTCAAACAAATATTAAAGGGTAGAACTCAAAAACACTTCTGCCTGACTTGACAACCTGAGAGGTGTGTATGTTTGTGTGTGTGTGTGTGTGTGTGTGTGTATGTCCCCTACTCTATCATGTAATTAGTATTTTTTTAAAGGGCAATTCCTTTTAGGTGAAATTATTTTTAACACTCAATATTCATGGTGTTTTAACAGCTTCTTTAATATATGTCTCCGTGTGCACAAACACACACACATTCAAAACTTGCTATGGATTTTTATTACCCTGGCTGCAAGTTTGGAGAAGGACTTACTCCTAAAATAAATTTGTTTGAGAAAATGGAACATAAAAATATTTATAGTTATTTTGTCATCTCTACCCCCTCAAATATTTTTAAACTGGTTTTTGTCATATGAATTTAGTATCATCATTCAGACCTTAAAATCTCTGTGAGACACACTCTCCACCCTTTAGTAGTCTTGAGTATATTGTTTCTAAAGCAGCACAGGGACTTCAGAGAGAAATTAAGAGAATTCTGAAATGATAATGTGAATTAAAGCAAAAGATTCCTTTTTCTTTCTTTTTCCCTCTCTCTGTTCTCTCTCTCTCTTTTCTTTCTATTTGCTTTTTGTCTTATTAATGTTATCAGTTAGCTAACACTCTATAAAAATGTCCTCGAGGGCTAGGAGATCCAGGATGCTTAGGTACAGAAGGACATTCTACCAATGCTCCTGCCTGCCCTGAATTATCCCTTTGCCTTTTATTAGATTGCATCACTATCTTTATGCTACTATTAAAAAAACTGTCACATGTTTATTTTGATCAAATTACATGATACCATACAAATATACTACTCCCTTGTTTGCCGATGCAATGATCTTTTAACTATCAGAGGTTTCAAATGATTTAGAATTTTTCAGATTATGAGACCTTTAGTACACTAGAGATCTATAATTTTGAAACACAATGCAACTTCATTAGCAAAAGGAAAAATATTCATTTGTTCATGCTTATTGTTTTTGTCCTCTGTTCATTCAAATCCAAAACCACCTAACACTGGAAGCCATTTACATAAGAATCATATCCCACCCATATTCTTGCTTCAGGAAATAAATGGATTTCAGGAGAATTTATTTCTCCAGCATCTCTGTCAGAGGTGGGGCTCTGTGAGCCTGCAACAGTTTACCAGACGGAGTCAGGCCATAAAGAAAGAAGTGCTGGCATTGGGTGGGGCTGAATAGTTTGCATCTTTTCCCACTGTTTCTCGCTGGTATCATTTCCACGAAAATCAAGGATGCGGGAATGTATGCCGGAGTAAGAAATCCTACAGTCCGCTTTGTGGGCCCAACACCCCCCACCCCATAATATCTTTAGCTGTTTATCTTAATCATTGAGAGAACTACCACACTAATGCCTGGGAAAACTGCAAAGGAGCTAAGCAAACCAAAGCAGTATCATGCCGGGGATTATATTTCTCCTGTCAAAACAGTCTTTTCTCCTCAGGAAGAATACACTCAGCACGAAACCAAAAGGCATTTGCTGTCTAGCCATCTCAAGATCATCCCCGAGCAAATGCATCTGGCCAAAAATCTACCTTTTGCTTCACAATCCACCTTGCTTAACACTCTGCTTTTAAACTCACTCACTCTAAAAATAAAACGACTCTCTCTGTACCCAGTTAACACCAGAAGCATCCATCAGTGACCACAGTCGTCAATAATCCACACGCGGAACACACCTTATCTCTGTTCACTTCCCCAGGCTCCAGTCAATGTATCCATCATGAACCCTGGTTCCTTTGCTATTCTCAAAAAGCAGCAGTTTGCACCTGCCTCTTTTAAAAGCAAGGCTTGGCACCGCTATAGTCTGTAGCTACTCATAATGCTCCACGGTTTCCAGAGCCTCCCTGATATTACACACTCACACACACGTATTTATACACAGACATTCCTGATTCTGATGCTTTACCTTCTTGGGTCTTTTTCTTCTCTGACTACTGCCATTGAACTTCTCTCCACTGTCGCTTTTCTGAGCTGCATCTTCGTTTATCATTTTGAACAGTTTCAAAAGGAAATAGCTCTGCCATCAACCCCTGCCGCCTGCACAGACCACTAGCGAGTATGCACTTACTGGAGGAACAGGCAGGAGGAGGAGGAGGAGGGGTGGGGAAGGGGCGCGCACTGGGAGGGTGAGGACGGTGACGTTGCCATGGCAGCAGCTGCCACAACTGTTTATCCGACTGCATTGTTAAATCTGATTCAACCAATTACCATCAGGAACCCGTTACAATGAAGAAAGCCTTGAAAACAGAATGCCAGGGACTCGAATGATTTGGGGACTCTGCTGGCTGGTTTCCGACACACCCTTGATACGATCCGCTCCCAACCCACGCACAAAACCTGCGCTTAATTTCCTTCCCACAGGTACTTCAACACGGAACAGACACAATGCACAGTGACACCACGACAACATTCTCGAATGTGTCTCTGAACCTCAAGAGGTACATTTTAGCCAGTCAAGAGGCTACTTGTGGAAAAGGATTGCCCATTAGTATCCTTAAAGAGAATATAAGAAAGCTGCATTTTTAAGATGTTATTCACTTGATTTAAAATTATAATCTTTTAAAACTCTGCTCAAGGATGACTTCGGTCATAAAACCTTGAGAACAGCATCTCCACCCACCAGGTGAAATAGACAGGTCCTCCCTCTGCCCCTTCGCTTTCCACTGTAAGCGTCCAACAGAGCACCTGTCACACTACATTGCACAACTGCACAGATACTAACTGTCTTTTCTTCATAGGCAGAGAGCTTCTGCAGGCCAAGAATTGTGTGTGTGTGTGTGTGTGTGTGTGTGTGTGTGTGTGTGTGTGTGTGTTTGAATGGGGAGAAATCATGGAATTTCCCAGAACTAAGCATGATTCATGGCACACAAAAGGCAGCTAATCAAGGTGTGTTAAATACATAAGACACAATAGGTAATACAAGCATAAGGAACCGATGGTGTTAGAACATTTATAACTGATCTTAAAAATTTTCTTAACCTACTTCTTTTTATTGACTGATAAATAAAACACAGTCCCTGCGGTCAAGAAGCTTATACTATAAAGTCCCAGACTTCTTCTTAATGAGAAAAAAATAATGGGGCCTGTTTCCAGAACAAGAAGCCCAGTTTCATATATTGGATCAAGGTGGCCACATTTGGATATTTAAACATATTAAATTGTGGATGCAACCAGAGCTCAATTTGTTTTGCACAGATACACATATGTAAATGCTAAACAGTTATTCCTTTTCCTAGAAAACGACCTTAAAGTAATAATACTTAGAAGTAAATACAGAGTAAGAATTAAACCAGTGAGATAATGTATATAAATGCACTTTGAAAACTGAAGGTGTCTATGTAGATGTGTTGCTATTGTTAATCTTATTGTTATCATTACAGAATACAGACAGTTTTCTACTCAGAAAAGTCTACCTTAAAATGTTTCTTACATGAAAGTGACCGCACCCCTCCAATACTGTCCTCTTACCATGCCTTGGTGAAGTCAGGCTCATGCATCAGGCAAGAGGTACTTTTCACTTCCTTTTCCCAGTTCTCCGTGGTTCCACCAGCAGCATTAGCAAGAAGCACCTCCTATCCCTCCTTGTGATCCTTCTACATCTTCCTCTCCTATCATTCATTTCTTCCTTGAATCATTCAACAGATATTTTTAGGGCGACTGACTACTACATGCTGGGCCCCGCACTAGGTGTTGGGGCTCTGGCACGAACTAGATCATCCTTTTCCTTAAAGAGCCTACTGTCTAAAGGTAGGGATGGTCACAGTGCCAGGACTCTATCTGGAGGGGATAAGGACACTATGGAAGGACAGAATAGGGCACCTAACCTTGTCTGAAAGAACAGGACAAGTTTCGGAGAGAAAGCGACTTGCAAACAGAGAAGATTTTAATTAAAAACAGGAATTATCTAAATGAAAAGAAAGCTATTGGGGGGGGGGAGTTGGGAAGAATGATTCAAGCAGAAGCAACAGCTTGGGTGAATGCCCCGTGGTAGAAAAGACCACGGCGGTGATGGAACCGAGACAAGCCCGTGTTGTGGTTGTGTGGCAGCCCCTAGCCAGGCTTGCACCGGTGACTCCTTCCTGGGCCTTAGCCTGTCACCAGTGTGCCTGTCCACAGACTGGCACTGTCCCGCGTAGGTATCTGTTATGGATAGAATGTTTGCTTCCCCCAAAAATTCACATGCTGGAATCCTAACCTCCAACGTGACAGTATTAGGAGATGGGACTTTTGGAAGGTGTATTAGTGTCAAGGTTCTCCAGGAAAATAGAACAAATATGATATACATATAGGTATGTAAGAGGGACTTTTATTATGGGAATTGGCTCACACAATTACAGAGGCCGAGGAGTCCCACAATATAATGTTTGCAAGCTGAAGAACCAAGAAAACCAGTTGTATAATTCAGTCTGGAGCCAAAGGCCTGAGAACTCTGAGAACTGGGTGAGGGAGGGGGTGCTGGTGTAGGCCCCAGGGCGTAAAGGCCCAAGAACCTGGAGCTCTCATGTGTGAGGGCAGGAGAAGACGGATGGCCCAGCTCCAGAAGAGGGAATCACCTTTCATCTGCCTTGCAGTTCTGTCTGTGCCCTCAGTGGATTAGATGCTGCTGGCTTACACAGGGGAGGCAGGATCTTATTTACTCAGTCTGTTGATTCAAATGCCAATCTCTTCCAAGAAACACCCTCACAGACACACTCGGGAATAATATTTTATCAGCTCTCTGGGTATTCCTTAACCCAGTAAAGTTGACACATAAAAGTAACCATCACAGGAGGTAATTAGGTCAGAAGGGTGGACCCCTCGTGAATGAGATTAGTGCCCTTATAAAAAAAAAAAAAAAGGAAAGAGATTATTTAGGTCACAGTCATGTGAGGATACAATGAGAAAACAATCATCTGCAAACCAGCAGTGGCCCTCACCAGACACCGAATCTGCCAACACCTCAACTTTGGACTTCCCAGCCCACAAAACTATGAGAAATAAATGTTTGTTGTTTAAGCCACCCAGTCTGTGGTATTCTGTGATAGTGGCCTGAATTGCCCAAGACGGTTCCCATCTGGGACACCTAATCATTGTTGCATAACCTGCGAACCATGTAGCAGGATGACCCTGTCAGCTTACAGAGAATCTTTTCCCAAAACTAGGATGTTAGATGCAGGTGATGTGGCTAGACAAAGGCAGATTTTACAACCACATAACCTGGTTGTAACTTACTCTGGAGTTCCGGGGAATATATTTGGAGATAGAATAAGCCCATCCTAACCCTAGACAAGAAGAATTCCATGACCAGCAAACAGCACAGCTCCCATGAACAACTGAGGAGACTCCAGAAGCCCCACCTGGCAACATCCTCAGCCTGATGATGCCAGGTGTCCTTTGGTAAAAGTGTATGCTTTGTGTTTACCGCAGCAAATTTAAACTAAAGCAGGGGTGGCATGAGAAGAGGCCAGAGGTGCAGGTAGGGACTGAAGAGCAAAGAGTCCATTAGGCCATGTTAAAGATTTGGGATTTGGACCTAAAAGCCATGCAAAACCATTTACTAGTTTAAGGAGAAAAGTGAAATGATAGAATTTGAGGTTTTTTTTTTTTTATAAAGAGCATTCTTTATAAAGAGTGACTGAATGGGAGCTAAGCAGAGCTTGGATGTGATGAGATTACCGAGGAGGCTACGACAGCAGTCTGCGAGAGAAGTGACGGTGACAGGGGAGGCAGATGGGTTAAAGGCATTACACTGACAAGTCCCGGGAGCAGGTGAGAAGCAACAAGAGGACAGAGGGAAGACATCCTGCCTGAACAGTGAGGGGAAAGAGACCTTAGCTTCATAAAAGTCTCATGTTGGGAAGAGCCTGCAAAGAAAAGTTTTCAAAATCCATTTCAGTTAACAAAGGAAGAAACAAGATGCAGAAAGACTGGAGACTCCATCCAAGACTAGTGCCAAGACTAGTTGGCACAAGGAAGACTCGGATCCAGGACTCAGAGCACCTCTGAGCAGCCTTTACACCATGGTAATGTTCACGTGGATGAACTTTAAAATCCTGTGTCAAATCTTATCTGCTACTACTTGAAATTAAGGAGCCATCACTTCTTGCATAAGGTACAACAGACCAGAGAGACAGGAGTCCACTAAACAATCACTTCCCCCAGCGAATGGTTAAGGGAAGAAAGCCCCTTGTTTCTGATGTAAATATGGAGTTGTCGGCGCAGTAATGTTTCACTGAGATGGATTTTAGAGAAGCAGCAGCGGCACTGGGTTAGGAACCTGCTTTCCTTCACTTTATGCCAGTCTGACAGAGGGTTTACCAAAGAGGTATTTAGTCGCAAAATTTACCCTTTTGGAAACCATAACATACAATAGTAGCACCTCACTTTACTCGAGGCATTTAATTATTAAAACTAGTATAGTGATGAATTATGAGTTTCATTGTACATAAATATCAGCAACAGTATTTTAGGTCAAACATAAATACAGAAGAATAATAAAATGTGGGTGAGCTCACCATGTACATGTTCCTGGCTAGGTCAGTTTTTTAGGACACGTTGTCATCTGCTCGCTCTACTATACATTCGGTCTCTAGTGATATTAGTTCTTGAAAATAGATGTTATAATTGGGTTTCCCTGTAGATGCAAATGAATGGCACATTGGGGCAGGCTGTGTCCTTGGCAGACATATTTTTCCAGTGGAATTTAACTTTCTTACTGTAAATATTTTAAATCTTAAGCCAGCTTAAAAATAAAATATGACAAATGTTTTTTTTTTTTTTAACAATGAAAAAAAAAAGTCTGGGTCCATTGATAAAAACCCAACATAGAAACAATATAGAGCCTCCATATTTAAGTCCTCTACAGATATAAATCATATTTTACATGGTGTGTATCCATGTTGGTTTTGAAAGTTACATATCTTCATGGCACTTTGGACTAAATTCCAAGTTTTCTCATTCATGGTCTAGCTCTGATATCTTCTAGGGTGGCATCTTTCCACTAAAATAAAC